TAATCTGCCAAAGAGCTAACTATCCTGCTATGGCCTTAATTACATTATGCTTTTGTAACATGCACAGTTTAGTAATGTTTTATGAGTATTGTCGACAATATACGCTTCAAAGATACGTTAACCGGTAAATATTTTTTTAATGGCCTTTACGACATTATTAGTATTAATTAAAAAAAAAGTCTCCTGTCTGGGGCCGGATCTCTCGTACCCACTACCTTTGGCACCCCATTGCGTTTATGTATTGTCATAAAAATGGAATGAGATAAAATTTATTTTTCATCTTTTACCTCATTAAATGATAATGTTAAAAAAAATTAATCTACGACATCATGGAGTCCACTACAATCAATTTAGTATTAACGCACTTAGCCTGTCGTATTCCAGTCTCCAAGCCCTTTTATTTGACACTCATATGGACGGGATTTTTACAAAAAAATTTATCCACCAGGTTCTGGTATCGCATTCTACCCTTTGAGTTCTTTTGTTTGATACCCATATCGCTGGTGTTATTAAGAAAAAATTAATCCACCAGGTCGTGGTGTCCACCATATTTTTTTTTTTTTGGAATTAACGCATTTTTAGGCGGATGTTATATGTTGATTTGGAAAATGTACAAAATAGTTTTAAACATTCTGGCTTATTTACCTTACGATTAGATTAATCAATAAACGTAAAACCTCAAAAGAGTGAGAAAAAAAAGTGGTGTGGGCATGGCCAATGTTTATTATTTTTGCACATAAATAATAGCGTTTTTCATAAAGTAAATGTGGAAAATTTCAATTACTTATCTTTTATAACTTTTGTGTAATGAGCTAAAACTCATTCATGTTTAGAAGAAGGGAGTTGCGTTTAGTTAACATTCAACTGCGACCTTGCACGCTGACCAATTTGGGCGCATTTTCAGTAGCAATGTGCGCGTAAATATTTTCAATGCTTGTACCAAAGTTGGAGTCGATATCTTCATTTTTGCAAACAGGAGAATGTCAACAACCCACCATACAGACGGACAGCCATGGCTTAATCAATTCAGAATTTCATGCCGATCAACAATGTATACACTTTATAATATCCTGCAGGCTTCCCTCTGGGTGTCACAAACGTTTACACAAAATGAGCGAAGCCTCCTTTCTTCAGTGGTGGGCCTAAAAATGTAGCTGGTTTTTATAAGAATAGAAATTATATCGATATATATATATAAATATTTTCCTTTTTTTGAACGACCACAGAAACTATGGCTATTGTGAAGCTGCCTTCAAATGTGTTACTTTTGTATGGTCTTTCATGTTCATTTGTTGGAATTGCGATAACGTTAGAAAAATTTGAGTCAAATGACAAAATTGATAGCAAATCGTTCGCAACTGTTTGTTAAAACAAATGAAATTCGCCTCTTATTAATGGGCACATTCACAGCCAACTATTAAAACAGTAAAAATAAAATATAAAATAAACCGCAATCGGTCTGTTGTGTTTAACACTAATCTCTAATTTGTGCGAAAACAACAATCAAAGTTGTTTTCTGTCACAAGCACGGAAAATTATGGTCCAATTACAGAAACAGCCCTAAAAAAAAAAAAAAACACAAAGTTGGGTGGAGGGCAGACCGACAGATGAATCAGATTAAGTATTCTATGATGAAAATTGATCCGTAGGATAATAATGCCATAGGAAGTTTGGATGATGAAAATCCAGTGAAATTTGTCGAACAATAGAATCTCTGGAAAATGCATTAAGTTTGTTACCGTTGGGTCACGTAAGCTGGAGTTCTGAACATACTCCACAACGAGGGTCCTTATGAAAAGTACGTCTTTCGTTAAATTAAATGAAATCGTGTAAAAAGGAAATCGAATTTATTTTATTGGATCATGCTGCAGGCAAACAATGCAAAAGTACCGGAACTCTTCTCTACGGCGTAGCAATCGTCAACATTTGTCAACAGTGTCATCATTGTATTTATATAATTGAACTGTTACGCTTCCACAGTCTGATATGCTTGCAGCATTTATATACACTTTTGCCCAAAATGTATCTGTTTTACTTTCCGCATAATAAAGAAAAAAATTTAAAAAAAAAAAAAAAAAAAAAAATTTTGTTTATATACAATATGGCTTTTTGTAATTTTTTTCCTCTAATTTGATTGTTACGGCCACAACTACCTAATCTGTTATAAACCCAGTATCCGTAAAATTGTTATCTGCAAAAAACACATTCACATAAATTTTCGTTTCAAATGCATAACTTTCGCTCGCCGTAAGCCGCCTAATCTGTTGAACGATAATGACGACGTGAGGACAATGGCGACAGCGACGGCGACGACAACGGAAAAATGTAACCACTAAGTATGCATAAAACGTTAATAGAGATAAATTTTTTTCTTCTTTTTTTTTTTTTTTTTTTTTTTTCTTAGCCACAATTTTACTTAGAAAAGCATTTTGTAATATTTTATGGGAAATAAGACAGAATGCCTACTACCACGCTACCATTACCACCTCCACCGACGTCAATTTGCTAAATAGGATTTATGACGTTAAAAACCAACAGTGGAGTTTAAGCATAAATTACGGTAATAATGACGACAGCAGAGATGACGATGGTGGCAGCGGTGGCAGCGGTGGCGGCATGGCGGTAACTGATAACATTGTCTTGTTAAGAGTGAGACGAGATTTTTTTCGTTTTTTCCATCAGAGTTTTAAATCTATTTATAATTGGAAAGGTTGGTTGATGGCAGTCGTCGTCTAGGCAAAAATGCGTACAGATATTTCTTAATTATTTGTGCGTACACACAGAATGACGCCTGACGTTTGATGTCTGACGATGTTGTGTTATAATGATTTCATTTACGTAAATGATATGAGATGGCGTGATATGGAAATTAATAGTTAGTTGTTTTATGGATTCATGTGACAACATATATGCTTTCAGTTCCTAAACATAACAACTATGAAGATATTGATGAAATGATTTGATTCAAAGGCAACTCTGCCGGTACGATAAAGTACCGAAATGCTTATGCTGGACATTTATATACTCGTTAATGATCGGAGATGAGTAAAATACGATGATTTAATCAAATCCTGTAACGAAGTGTCGAACAAAACGACGACTATTGCAAATCATTTTTTAAGCAGTCTCTTGTTTATGACATTCTCGCTGTGTACGACATCCTTTTGCCGGTTTTTGAGACATACTTCTTCAACGTGTCAGCACAAGTTGCTGGCGCTCATTTGCTATACAGCCTTGCATTGCATATGGTTCAGGCATTTTCGAGCGGAAAGACAATTTCAAGTGATGTTCAGTCAAATTTTGTGCTTACACACAATACAACATGTATAGATTGGGAGCGCCATTTGTATCCAATTATTTTTTTTTTTTTTAAAGGAAAATGAAACATATTTTTATTAAAGGTAAATATTAATTACAAAATATATATAAGTGGATCCGTTTACAAGTGAGTAAATCACTTCTGTGCTTCGTGAGATAATGAAACTAAACTTATTGTATAACAAACTAATGTTCTGTCAGCCTACATAACCTAGCAAAGCGAATGATATGCTAAAATGATGTTCGTGGTATATACGTTTAAAAACGAAGAGTAAAAATTCACCCACCTTGTGCCAAATAAGCGCGTAATCCACCAAAAAGAAGCTTACAATGCAGTCTATACAGCGCATTAGATAAGCGGTGAGAAATTCATGATAACTCGTATCTAAATCCTAATCGAATAATTTCCAGACTTTTGCAAAAGTTTACTTTCGGAAGACTTTCCCGCTTAAGTCTATACGCTATCTTCCTCTTATTTCCTTTCCCCTTTTTTACGTTTTTCGTACCACGTCAGCCTGGTTGTCTTTCTTGCCGGTACCGAGTTTATACGTATAGAGAGGACATCCCCGCAAATAGCTATTCAATAAAACAGAATGCAATTGGAATTTATGTACATATCGGGGAACATGACCCGAAGAAGAGCATTCTAATAGACAAGACGAAAGCTCAGAACTTGTGCTTATGGTAGCATTCGATTTGTCGTTCGGTGTGTGTTACGCTTCAGACAAAAAATAGCTATTTAACTTTATCTGTTTACACATATCAATCTCACTCGGGGTTATTTTATGTTTACGTCCGCAAAACTTGGAATAGAAAGTTTAAATTGCCAGATCAAGCAAGTTCACTGAGACCCTCTCCATACTCTATCCCCGTATAGAAGATCTACGGAATAAAATAAGTAATTGATCGATTCAAAATCTGTCTTGTGATTCTGCTTGTGGATTATAATGCGAGCAGGGGGAATATCGTGTATAAGGGTCTTATTGTAGATTGATTTCTGGCATTTAGAAATCTACAGATTGTTCTTCGTAAGTTAATCGAGAGTAATTAACAATAATACGTTTAACAACAATCAATGGAAAATAATGCATAATTATTGTCTTTAGATCAAGGTATTGCCCGATCGATTATTTGCCGTTATTCTAAATGTTATTGCTGCTTACTATAGCACTGGTATTATTGCTATTAAGAAAGTAGCTGTAAAAGAAGACCAATTAGTTGAGCTAATGAAATTGTTTCACATCGTTCCAATTAACTCTGATGTACATTTAATTTGAACTTTGGCCGTTTTACGTCTCAAAAACGAATTTAAATAATCTCTCTTTCTTTTTTCCCCTAGTTGTAGCTAATTGTTAATCTTATTTAATTGGCCAAAAGAATTCATTGCCACTCTATCCACGCTTAGCGTAAGCGTAGTTTTTTCACCAAGGCTCGTCAAACGTTATATTCATATGCTAAGAGAACGGCAACGGGAACGACAGCAACAACAACATTAACATTAACATTAATATTAATAAAAATAAAAATAGCATCAAAGTCTAGGCCATGATTATGGGCATAGAATAAATGTATATTAACGCGAAAAAATAAGCAATAACAGTAATGATAAGGAGCAAGGTGGGTAGGTACCTAAGACTAATGTAATGCTTACAACAAATAGACAAACAAATACATTTACTTACCTTTTAGAGGCATTAGTTGGTGGTAAAGCATGATTTTCGTGACCAGCACCATTTAAATCTTGATTATATTGTTGTTGCTTCTTTTGTTGTTGTTGTTGTTGTTGTTGTTGTTGTTGTTGTAGTTGGTCGTCATTTTCTGAAGCATCGTTAGTTAGTTTTATTGAGCTAACGGTATGACGTCTTTGTTTTTCATCGCGATTACGTTTGTGCTTGCGAGTAAAACGTGCCCCCTTAGGAGACATCAAGGTTTCGTACGGTGTACTGGCCGTTGGGAAGAGGGTTAACGATTTGTCTGCACCTGTCTTCATTTCGTCTTGTGCACTGCATTCTTCATTACCTTGCAAATCTGTGGCACCGACCAACGGGATCGTACAACCGATATTATTATTACTAGATGATTTATTACTACTGCTAATGTTGGGTAATTCTTTTTTGTGTTCGGATGAGCTTGAATCTACCTGCTTCAGCGAATGAAAGTTACGAATGGGGGCATTACTAGAGGAGGAAGTCTCTACTGATGGAATATAAATGTGAAATTGCTGAGGAATATGATGATGAGTTTCTTGACTGATTTGATTGTGTGGTAAAGATGCGACCTTTCTGGGTTGACGTTTATCATCTAATAGATTTGTCGTTTTTTGCGTTACACGCAAGCGCAGATTTTTTCGTGAACAACCCCCTTCAATATGCACAAGATCGTCATCGTCTTCGCTGAGATCGTTTATGTAAATCGGATTGTTTTTTTTCAGTTGCGCATTTGGTTTTTGTTGCGGAAAATCACCGCCAGATGAGTTCTCTAGGCCACCAGACATGGTAGAAGAATTCCCGGTACCGTGTGGTTTATTTTGTCGCGACAAGGAACTTGAATGTGATCGACGAGAGCGTCTTACTTGATAATTACGTATATTTTCGTCGTCGCTGATATTGCTTTCGGAGGAGGAATCTTCGTCGTTGGTTGATGTGGTAAAGAGATCGTGACCGGTTTCTTTGCATATTATTTCATACAAAGCACTAATAGGGCGTGATTCGCTACGCACACGCACCACTTTCTTACGATTAGAGAAACGTTTACAATTACGACTGCGTTCCGCTGAGGTGCTACCACTTATTGGCTTATTTAATGATTGTGTTTTATGCTCTGCTGTTGAAGTTACGTTATTAAGGGTTACTATACTACTTGCAACAATGCGAGCCGTTCGAGGGGAATCTATATCTAAATTACCTTTTACGGGGTTTGTCGCAGACGTTGGCGAAGATCTTGCATAAATTTCGGATATTTTTTGTGGCTCTTTGATTGCAGTACCTCCACGAAAAAAAGCTGACGTTGCTGCTTTATTGAGTTTCTCTGTCGATATGTTATTATTATTATTATTAATGCTGTCCGATTTTGTAGAATTTTTTCCACTAATGGGTGGTGGTGCCACCGTTGCGGTTGAACTTTTCGGAAACTGTCGTTCGTCTTTTACTAAATTCGTTGGTGTTCTATAAACACTTTGATAATTTTCGTTCAATGAATCTTTGGCTTCAGGTGTATGTATTCTTAAATGTAAGTCGGTGTAGTAAGCGGGAGTTGTGTGATGATGAAAGTGGGGATGATGGCCTTGATAACGTTTCGTGCCTGTTGTGTTTTTTTGATTGATTTGTTGTTGCTGCTGCTCCTGTTGATGTTGCTTTTGCTGTTGTTGCTCCAATTGTTGTTCAAACTGTGATTGTAGATCTGATTGCAGTTGTTTTTGTTGCTGGCAGCTCTTTTTGGCAGTGGCTGATGCTGAGTTTAAGTAAATTGTAGCACTTTCAATGATTTCAAAATCGTTTTTATTCGATGTGGAGACGGATTCTGAAAAACACATTAAAATTATTCAGTTTAAAGTCATTTCTCTCACTAAATCAAAGAAACGAAAAAAATTGCATATGTGAAATATGTGAAAAATTAATTTGCCATTGCAAGTACAACTGTTGCCCATATGTTGACCAACAAGTTGGGTTATCTGCTTTTTTTTTCAATATTAACATCCGTTCGTCTCACATTCGATAAAGTTCCCAAATTGATGAATATAGAAGTATACATACTAAGTTTGTCAAAACTGAGTACCGTGTCAAGGAGAAAGTTTTCGTTGCGTATTCTCAAATAATGTGTGGATTTAGAGTCGTGATACTATGGCAGCACTGTATAGTAGCTAATAGCCCATAGAAATTAAAAAAGAAAAACATACAATATAGTAGGACGTACTATATTGTTTGTTTCGCGAATTTTCGCGAAAATCTTTATATAGGGTAGAATTTGAAAATAGGCTGACATGGTCCAAATTTTGTAGAGTTAATTATTATATCAAATTACTGCCCTACAAAGCATCAATTTTCGTAAAAAATCCCTATATATATAAAAGGTAGAATTCAAAATCCAAAATATAGGCCGAGATGGTCCAAACTTAGCACAGTTAATATCTTTCTTGTTAAATTATTATTGTGATCTGATTTCCATCATGAAGCATTGAAAATTATACCTTTCCGTCACATGAACTTCGAATTTCGTCAGCCGGTCCAATACCGAAATACTATCCACTTTTATCGACAAATTTTTGAAAATTGCAATTTTTTTCCAAATAATGACGTTTCAAAATGGGGCGTTATATGGGGAGTGATCGCGGGAAAGTACACCGATCAACACCACTTCAAGTAGCATTCGTCCTTGGATCAAAACACGTCAGTGTATCAAAATTCATACAACTATCTCAAAAATTGCGACCTGCGGCTTGAACACAAGATTGCAATCACAGACATCAGATGAACAAACGGGCTTAGATTGATTCAGAAAATGATTGTGAATCGTATATTAAGTTTGTGCGGACGTTGGTAACACGCAGAAGGACTTAAGATAGATCCACCTTTTTCTTATACCGATCGATTCAGATTCATTTTCTGAATCATTTTCTTTGCATTGTTTTTCTTAAGCCGTTTGGCATGTTGCAAACGTCCGCCCAAACTTAGTATTATCTGTACCGCAAGTGGTATGGTGAAAAAATTCAATATATTTTACAATACCACTGCTATCAAGGTTGGCTATCGAAAGAATTTGTAGTGTTTTCAGTTAAGGGGCTTAATCGAAACGTGCTTTACCAAATTAGTGCATGCCAATGATTCGCTCAGCGCCGTTTCAAAAAATTCAGCATTAAAACGGCCTGCATCATGACCTGTCGTTTATTGATGAAATCGATAAAGTTGTTCAAAATATTCACAACGACTGAAAGCTTTCATCTTCTGACATATATGCGAAACCAAATTTTGACCAAAAAGACAATTTTGAACCATTTGCATAAGGTTGGATAAAAAAAAAGAAAACAAAACTCGATATTTGGTTACCAAAGGAATGAAAAGTCAAAGATAAAGTAATGGGCCAAATCATGCATTGACAAATCTTGAAAAAGTATGATGATAACGAATGTGTGAAACGGGTGTGTGAAAAATGATCCTTGTCTAAAGTGGAATAAGTTATGCGAACGGTAGCAAAAATAAAATGGATATCATATTAAGTAATACTTTGTGTTCGGCGGGATTGGGGAGAAGTCGTCATCATCATCATTGGCTGCTGAAATCTGTCCAAACAGTTGTCCTCATACTCGACTGATGTGCGATTAAAGTGCAGCGCGTAAAACTGATGAATAAAATAAATACGGACTTCCATAACGGCAATCCTAGACCGTATATATGTTTAATGACTTGTCACGAAAATCTCACAAATTTAGCTGGCGAATATCAATACATCCACTGTATAGTCAGGGCCTTACCCCGTCTATCGTATCATTTATTTCGTTGTTTACCAAAGTCTTTTAATGTGATAAACATATAACTTCAAAAGAAGCCAGTGAAAATCGCTCAGTTTAATTTTTCGCCATTAAATCGTAAAGCTAAGCTAAGCTAAGATGGCGTCATAATGTTTTCGCGAGAAAAATGTTTGAAAATGGAATTGATTCAGAAATTTTACCCATTTACATAAAGTTTAAGTTAACTTAAGTTCATTTAAAATGCAAAATTATATATAAACTTTTTGGTGACAAAAAAATACCACGAAATACGTCCTCTGAGTGTTATTATGGCGGAAATGAACTTTTATTCTACCATTAGCATTTTTGTCATTTATATGTCATTAGAGCGCGATGAACAAATGAAAAGAGATATATAAAACCAATATACACATAGGAATGATAATCAATCAAGATGCACGAAAAGCAGAATATAAATAAAGAAAAAGCGAAGATCTTAACTAGAAAGTAATGTCTATTGCAGTGCAGTGCACATTATTCGTTTAATCATAATTAGCCCAGTTTTACGTTTTAGTTTTTTCTCTCTTTTTTCTCTTTTTTTTTATTTTTTTTTTTCTTTTTTATATAATGTGTGTCAAGTTAAGTTTTTTCATCAAATTAATGGTGATTACATTACGCTATTCTAAGACTTTAAGCCAATTTAGAAAACAGTTTTCTAATTTCATGTTTTTTCGATTGAAAAGAAGAAGAAGAATTGCTTGCACAAGAAAAGACTTACGTTCAGTTCAGATCGAGTAGAATCTATAAACCCACCTTTCCTTTCCACTCTTCACTTTTCATTTTTTTAAATTCATTTATTTCTTTGCTCTTTTCTCTCTTTCTAACGCTAATACTACAAAATTTCCTTTTAGTAGATACGATAAAAAATATGTATGTCGCACTTAGTCAAAAGTTACGTTGTATAAACACAAATTCAATACTCAATTATATTTATGAGGCTTGTCCGTCAGGCAGCAAGCGTTCTGGCAATAGGGCGTTCAAGTGCAAGAAAAAGGATTTTTTATATAATATGATGTGTGGCAATAGACATGCATGGTCAATAACATGAGCCGACCATTTCCTGCTATTGAATCTGCTATTGAACCTTCAACAGCCAGCCGTGTAACCAAAAAAGGCAACAGTCAGCAAGCAAAGTGATGAGCGTCATATTTTCATTCAATCAAAGGAGGTCATTACCAAAAAATTATCTCAAGTTACGAGGAAACAACAACGCTTTCACCAAGACAGTGCAATCTATCCCAAGTCGATGGCTGCATTAGCTGCAATTCCATAAATTGAAGTTCGAATTGCTCGTTGACACTTCATATGCTTCAGATTTTGCTCGTAGCGATTATTTTATTGTTAGAAAATCTCAAAAGAAAGCTCGAGAGGAAAGGACCTAAATTTAATAGGACATCATCATGGGACACCTAAGCATAGAAGGTATCGAAATGCTAAAGAAATTTTAGGCTACGTTTATCACTTTTGAAGGGGGCTGTGTTCATGAAAACAAAAAAAAATTGTTCTACTTTCACTCGAAACGAATCGAATAAAAACTCGCGAATATTTTCGCGAGAATTTTTCCTCACAACCTGCTATCGGCATTTTGTCTCGCTTATAGCCGCCGTTTCGGTCCTTTCCGTAAATTAATAAGTTCTCATCTCGTAACACGTACCTAACGCAGCCAATTTACCCGACCCGAATTTTTATGTCTCGATAATTCGCATATTGATCGCATTTGTATCGTATGAATAACTTGCAAATATTTACAAAGGTGTCGCTTAGTGTGTAGCAAAGTGCGAAGCAGCATTTATTCTGCTTCAAACTATAGAAACAATGCAACTAAAGCTACGAAAATAATTAAGTTGGCTTGGGGAGAAAATAGAACAGGGGTAAGTAATAGAATAGTTGGAAGATTGTTGAGGACGACGAACCGCTGCTCCGCGAAAGTTATTCGATGAAGAAGTGTAAAGTTTACTTGGCGAAAATCCAGCTTTTCCCGTCATATACACGCTAATCACTCAAAGTCATTGAAATATGTATAGGAAGTAAAGCGTCTCTTCCGTTGTTTGTTGCCTTACAGATTGGGTAAAAACTTTATCTTATCTATCAATATAATGCTTGACGCATGCATGAATGCAAAAGTACCTGCAAATTTGGTCTCAAAATTATGAAGAAACGAAAGATAAGCATCTTATCTAGAAGATGGTGAGGGTTGTACAATTATATAAATAAAATATATCTATACATATAAATAAAATCAATATTATATAAAACAACTAAGAAAGTTATATTCGGCAGGGGCCGCATATCGCACACCCGCCGCTATACTTTTCGCATTCTACTCTCGAAGTTCTTTTATTTGATACCCATATCGATGATATTAGTAAGAAAAAATTAATCGCTTTGTCTACCATAACGATTTTAGAACGAACCCCTTTTAGGCAGATAATATATCTTTATTTAAGCAGTGTATAAAATAGTTTTCAACTTTCTGTCTTGCTCACCTTATGACAAATAAGCATAAAACCTCAAAGAAGTGAAAAAAATAAAATTTAATTACTCGCAACTTTGTGTGGGCATGGCCGATTGGTTCCACTTTTGGACCTAAATAGTAGAGCACTTCATAAAGTAAACGTGGAAGATTTCAGTCATTTATCTTTAATAACTTTTGATAAAATTCACAAAATTATGTTTAGAAAAACAGAGTTGCGCTTAGGTTAGTTTCGCTGGACACTTGCACGTCGCCCAATTTGGCCCCATTTTCAATAGCAATCTGCATAAAAAAATTTCGATTGCTTGTGCCAAATGTGAAGTCGATATCTTCATTTTTACGAACAGGAGAATTTCAACAACGCGTCACACAGACGGACAGACATGGTGAAATCAGCTCAGAATTTCACATTGATCAACAATATATATCCTATATAGAATCTTTGAAGCTTCATTTTGGGTGTTACATACATTATGGGAAAAAAACAAAATGAGTATACCGCCATCTTACAGCGGTACAACACATGCCTACTATATTCCTATC